TTTCCTGTAAGTCGTTGAAATCAGATCAACCAAGCCGATAGGGGTGAAAGAACCCCGTTATTTTTGCTTTGTAACTAAAACCCCTTTATAGATATATAATGCTTTGAAGTAAACCAGTTCTCCAGTGCCGACAGGCCAGGGGGAAATGCCGAGCGCTGGACAAGGCTGCTCGAAGTCAGGTGGGTCTCAGTTTCCCAAGCTTGGCTCTTTGTTCTGCAGCTGGCTGGGCTGGGAGCCCCCAGGCTGTCTCAGGCATGCTGCCCGGAACCAGGGTTCTAGAGCCAGGGTCTAGAGTCAGGGTCTGGAGTCAGGGTCTGGAACCAGAGTTCTGGAGTCAGGGATCTGGAGCAAGGATTCCTGAGTCAGGGTTCTGGAGTGAGAGTTCCTGAATCAGGGTTTCTGAGCCAGGGTCTGGAGCCAGGGTTCTGGAGCCAGGGTCTCTGAGTCAGGGTTCTAGAACCCTCTAACCTGTGCCAGTTCTTTGTATACAAAATAAAAATAGGGTCTAAGAGGCTGGAAGTAGGACAGTGGGGCGGAGAAAATACTGGCCTGGAACATGGTCGAACCAGACTTAATCCCCAGCACCATCATATGGTCCCCAGATCACCACCACAAGTGATCCTGAGAGCAGAGCCAGGACTAAGTCCTGAGCACTGTAGGTGTGACACTCACACCCAAACCAAACCAACCAGCCAGCCAAGCAAAGCTTCTAAGAGGCTGCACTGCTTGTGAAGGACATGAGGGCCACCCTGCTGTCCAGTTCTGCTAACAGCATCGTTACATGCGAGGTCGCCAGCACCTGTTCTTTCTTTGTGGCTAAGAAAAGGCTAAGAGCTTGCAGTGCTCAGAGCACTCAGAAAGGATGTGTGGTCCAGAGCCCCTCCAGCACCCCAGTGTTGTGTTTATGACACAAGAGACCCCAGCGAGGGCTTGTGGAGAGCTCTGGGAACCCCTCAGACGCCCGACTTCCCGTCACCCTGACTTCTGAGATGTCTTTATGGACAAAAGTGTCTTTTTAAATTTTTATTGTTATTTTAGGGTTTGGAGCCACACCTGGCTGTGCTCAGAGCTTACTCCTGACTCTGTATTCAGGGACTACTCCTGGCAATTCGGGGGACCCTATGGGGGAGCCAGGAATCGGATCTGGATTGGCCATGTGCGAGGCAAACTTCTGACCCACTGTACTATCGCTCCAGCCTTGTGGATGGTTTTAAAACGTCACGCTTCTTTTTTGGGGGTGGGAGAGGGGGCACACCTAGCAGTGGTCAGTGTGACTTCTGGTTCTGCATTCAGAGTTACTCCTGGTGGACTTGGGGGGGCCATATGGGATGCCCAGCCTCAAGCCCAGATCAGCTGCACGCAAGGCCGTTTGTGTGACCACTATAATCACTGGCGCAGTGTTTTATCTATCCTATCTGGACATGATGCTGGAGTTAAGAGACGCCCCAAAATATCACACCAGATTCTGAGTCATCTGAGACAGAAACGTCCCCTCCCTTGGCTTTTCATGAAGACAAGGGCATGGGGGTGGGGGTGGAGGAGGCGGGGTTGATGAAGCTCTAAAAACTGGAATCCTCTGTTTTTTGTGTGTGTGTGTGTCACACCCAGCAATGCACAGGGGTTACTCCTGGCTCTTCACTCAGGAAATACTCCTGGCGATGCTTGAGGGACCATCTCGGATGCTGGGAATCGAACCCGGGTCGGCTGCGTGCAAGGCAAACGCCCTACCCACTGTGTTATGGTTTCAGTCCCTGGAATCTTCTGTCTTAACTGACAATGCATGGTCCTCCTGTGGCCATCCCCAGCGGTGGCCAGGGCTCACTCCTGGCTCTGTGCTCAGGGGTCATTGCTGATGGTGTTTCAGGGGGGTCGGATGTGGTGTCGGGGATTGAATCTGTGTCAGCCAGGTGCCAGGTGCCAGGGAAGTGCCTTACCTGTGGTCCCATGAACAATCCTTTCCAGTATGGCGACAGGCTGGGCTCAGATAGAGTTTTCAGATGGAGACTTCTGTCCTTTTGCCCTTCTGTCCAGAGTCACGAGGTGCCCAGGCAACACGTGCCCTAGTGGGCAAAGCTCCCTGTGCCCATGAGCCCCTGCTCAAGCATTGGCGCCCAGGGGCTGCAGGTGAGGGCCAGTGAGCCTTGAAGGGCATGAGGGGGGCGGGGATTCTGGGCCCTGCAACGGGGCCGGGTATAGGCCACGTCCTCGCGCTCAGACCCGTTTCTTGCTCCCTTGTCTCTGTCTCTGCCTGTTTCCACTTCTGACCAGCCCGTGTGACCCCCTGAATACATCTCTCCTCCATCTCTCCGTTCATGTCTTTCTAAGCTAGTTTCAACCAGTGAAAACTACCTTGCATCAGGCCAGAGTGATAGCACAGCAGGTGGGGGTGTTTGCCCTGCATGCAGCCCACCCAGGGTTGATCCCCCGCACCCCGTATGGTCCCCCTGCCCCCAGCATCATCACCCCCAGGAGTAACTCCAGAGTAACCCCAAAGCACGGTGGTCAAACAAACTGTCTCGGATCACTAACAAAAACAATGAAGGTCAGACCCAACGCAGAGCGCAGGGGTGAAGGCAGGTGTCCTCACAAGGCCCAGGGCCCGGTTCAGACCCCCAGGTCCCCACCCCACTTCGGGGGCTCTGAACACTGCTTCAGGAGGAGCTGCTGATGCATGGGTGTGGCCCACAAAAAGAACATAACACCAGAGCGAAAGCAGATGACTAAGTGAGCCAGGCGAGGTGGCCAGTGGCGGGTCCCATCAGATGGAGGTGCCGCTTCCCCCATCTGACTGTGTTCCCCGGCTCCTGCTGCAGCTTGTCCTGCGATAAGGATGCTGGCAGCTGCCCCACGTGCGTGAACAGCCTGCCCCAGGGGCCAGCATGGCCTGGACGGTGCCCAGACTTTGTGGTGCCAAGATGGTCGCGGGTGCTTCTGTGAGGATGCTGAGTTCTCCGGAAGGTTCTCTATGTTCATTTAGGGAAGGAGATATTTGAGTTTCTGCCTGGATGGCCACAAATGCCCTCTGTCTGTCTGTCTGTCTGTCTGTCTGTCTGTCTGCCTCTGTTTTGGACCACACCTGGCATTGCTCAGGGCTGTCTCCCAGCTCAGTGCATGGGGTCCCTCTTGATGGTTCTCGGGGACCGTGGACGGATCTGGGTTCCCGCAGGCTCAGTGAGACCTCAGCCTTAGCCTCCCCCGGCCCAGGGCACTTCCACTCAGATAATCATGGTTGGGTGCTGTTACAGGCTCTGGGTCAGGGGGGAGTGACCTCTGTTAGTGGCTCTGGGTCAGGGGGGAGTGACCTCTGTTAGTGGCTCTGGGTCAGGGGAATGACCTCTGTTAGTGGCTCTGGGTCAGGGGAACGACCTCTGTTAGTGGCTCTGGGTCAGGGGGGAGTGACCTCTGTTAGTGGCTCTGGGTCAGGGGGGAGTGACCTCTGTTAGTGGCTCTGGGTCAGGAGAATGACCTCTGTTAGTGGCTCTGGGTCAGGGGGGAGTGACCTCTGTTAGTGGCTCTGGGTCGGGTGGAGTGACCTCTGTTAGTGGCTCTGCGTCGGGTGGAGTGACCTCTGTTAGTGGCTCTGGGTTGGGTGGAGTGACCTCTGTTAGTGGCTCTGGGTCAGGGGGGAGTGACCTCTGTTAGTGGCTCTGGGTCAGGGGGGAGTGACCTCTGTTAGTGGCTCTGGGTCAGGGGGAATGGCCTCTGTTTGTGGCTCTGGTCAGGGGGGAGTGACCTGAAATTCTTTCTCCAGCTCGGAACTGGTGTCACCCAGGATGGCCTGATTCAATGGGGAAGTGCCGTTAGCCAGGGGACAGTTTCTGACTAAACAGGGGCCAGCTGGCAGTTGTCAGGAAAGACAGGGTTTGTGTGTTTGTTTCCGGCCACGCCCAGCATGGGTTCAGGACCCACTCCTGGCTCAGCTCGGGGTTCACTCCTGGTGACACTCCAGGGACCAGAGCAGCTCTGGGGACCAACTGGCGTCAGCCGTGTGCAAGCAAGCGCCTCGACCCTGCTTTCTGGCCCTCTGGCCTGACCCCACTTTCGAATGTCTTTCAACTTCGACCTCCGACTGCAAACATGAGACATGGATCATTTTCACGGTGATTCTGAATTTGTTTGTATATTTATTCTAGAAACAGCAAATGCCTTACTCTGTATTGGACACACGCGCATGCACGCATGCAAGCACACACGCACACACACATGCACACACACACACGCGCACACACGCACACACGCACACACACGGACACACATGCACACACACACGCACACACAGGCACACACAGGCGTGTGCGCACACACGCGCACATATATGCACACACATGCTCACACACGCACACACACACATGCACACACATGCACACACGCACGCACACACACATGCACACACACGCACACACACACACGCACACACGCACACACACGCACACACACATGCACACACGTGCACACACACGCACACACGCACACACACGGACACACATGCACACACACGTGTGTGCACACACGCGCACATATATGCACACACATGCGCACACGCGTGCACACACACATGCACACACATGCACAGTGCACACACATGCACACACGCACACACATGTGCGCACACACATGCACACACACATGCGCGCACACACATGCACACACGCACGCACACATACACACATGCACACACACGCGCGCACACATGCACACACATGCACACACGCGCACACATCACACATGCACATATATACACATACACACATGCGTGCGTTCTGTGAGTCTATGACCGTGCCTCTTACAGGGCAGAACGTGCTCTAACGGCACCGCCCTGGCCCCGGCCTTCCTGGCCATTCATTGAATCTTTCTGGAAAATCTGTCACATCAGGGTTTGGACCAGAAAGGCGAACTTCCGGCCCCTCAGGGGGCTAATGTTTGGGGTCCCTCTCCCTCCCTCCCCTGAGCTCGCAGGGCACCAGACACATCTCTGAGGGCTCCTTCTGTTTGCTTTTCAGGAACGTGAAAATAAAGACAGGGGAATGGTTCTTTGAGGAGCGAGCCAAGAAGTTCCCAGCGGAAGGTAGGTGCTTCGAACCGTTCCCTGAGGTGAATGTCTCATTCCCAGTGGAGAAAGAATCAGTGTTGGCAGGGGAGAGACAGACACCAGCCCTGGCCTCGCGTGTGGCTGACCTGGGTTCGATCCCCAGCACTGCAGGAGTGATTCCCTGAGTGCAGAGCCGGGAGGAAGCCTTGAGCACTGCTGGATGTGGCCCCAAACAAACAGGCAGACGGACAGCAGACAGACAAACAAAAGCTTTGGGGTGCAGATCGACCCTTCCCAGCGGGGGAGACCGTGCAGGGTTAGTTTGCCTTGCACAATGCCAACGCTGGTTTGATCCCCGACATTGCATAGGGTCCCTCCAGCCCCGCCAGGAGTGACCCTGAGCACAGAGCCAGGAGGAAGCCCTGAGTGCAGCCAGGTGTGAGCCCTGAGCAAAATAAAACAAAACAAAACAAAGAACCAGAAGCCAGCCTGCCTGTCCCAGGGGTGCTTGTCACCCATCCACACCCTCCTGCTTGTCCGTGCTTCCCCCCATCACCTCTGCTTGCCCCTCAACCCTTGCGACCCTCAGGTAGACCCCAGCCATCTGCAGGGAGTGCACAGAGCACCCCCACGGAGACCGTGGTCAGAGTGGGACTCCCGGGAGCACTTACTTCTGCTCCTTCCTGCCTGGGGGCTCCGGCTCTCCTCCGGGGACCAAGCTCTGCCCGCTGGAGGAGCTCAGAGCTGGCTTGGAGCCAAGCAACGTGGCCCTTCAGCGTGACCCTTCACTTGCCTCTCCTGAGCCCTTGTCCGAGCATGGAGCACAAAGGCCAGTGCAATGCCTCCCATGCAGGGGCCTCCGAGACCTGCCGGGAGTAGCTGGAGTAGCCTCAGAGCGTGGCCAGGCACGGCCCTGCCCCACACTGAACCAAACAAGATTATTTTTGCGGGGCTGGGGTTTTCTTCAGGCGGGAGAAAGCTTCGTAAGGGTTCAGCGAGACTGCAGGGGGTGACTACCCGCGGTGGAAGCTTTGGGGTCACTATGTCTGTGTCTGCTGGACACTTTCCTTTAGGTTGAACTGTGTGTCTGCACGGGAGCCAGACTGCTGAGCTCGTGTCTTTGAGAGAGAACACATGTGCAGGCGTGGTTGTGCTCCTACATGCCGACTCCATGCCTGGAAGCATTATTGTGTGTGCATGCTTTGCGTGTGGTGTGCATGTGTGTGCCAGGCATGGTTGTGTGCGTTCACACACATGTGCACCTGTGCCGTGTATCATGATGCAGGCATACTTTGTATGTGGGTGCCATGCATGGTTGTGTGCATTCTTACCAGTGTGCTCCTGTGTGCCAGGCAGCATGATGTGTACATCCCTGCAATGCACTTGTGTAGGATAACACTGTTTTGTCCTTCCTCAGGTAGCTTACGTTTATCGGGTCACACCCATCCCAGGGCACTGAACTCATATTATAAGTTACTATTGCCTTTCTCCTCTCCTTATGTCTTTTGTATAGTTTACCTTAAAGCAATGTCCTTTCTGTATGGACACAGGAAGACAGTTAATATTATGCTTTGTAACTTGGGAGTTGATTGACTCTGAATAATATTTACTCCTGGGCATCTGCTTTCTTGACTCAGTTGCCCCTAGTTCCTAGCACCCCAAAAGCAGGGCCCCGACAAGGGACTGAATGGGCCCAGGGCAAGCTGTGAGCTACCCTGGCATCGAAATGGGCCAGGCCAAAGCACCACGATACTCAACTATAAGTTGAGGACATGATCATTGACAAATACTGTCATGATCCAAAAGTAATGACGAGACTAGGACCCTGCTGGGGCTAGGAAGACTAACCTGGCCTGAAGGACTGCAGAATATATAGTGAGATGTCCTCAGGAAGAACCAAACTGTAAATTTATGTCCCTTACTGTGCTCATACAGAATGACATTGCTAGAAATATCAGAAGTAGATTTACTACAACTATTTCAGTAGATTACTAGCTGAGGAAAGAACACACCCTTGTTGGGCTCCCACCCTTCAGCGAATCTCCTAGTAATCTGGAGTAATCTCTTTAGATGAGATGTTATCCTTGAGTTAATCTCTTGGAGGAGTGGTCTTACCTCTCTTTGTTGATTTGTTAATGTTCAAGCGACCTTTGCTATATAAACTAAGACTGTAGGCCCAGGCAGGAGAGATCCAGAGTCAGAGCAGAGCGAGAGGGGCTCAAGCTTGAGAGAGAGAACAGCCGTCCTGATCCAGGCCACACACAGGGCTCAAGAGCACCGGACGCGGGCAGTGAGACAGAGCTGTCCAGAACACACAACCTTCAGCGTGCTAAGATTTTACACACTTGCATGGTTGCATGTGTGAGCATCCATGTCCCGTGCGATGCTGTGCACATGCTTGCATGCATGCCTGCCCTTGGGGTGCTGTGCATTGCTCCCACATATCTGTGTGTCTGTGCGCGTGAGGATTGCCTATGTGCCTGCGTGTCCCCTCCTGCCGTGTGCCTGGCCTCCCGCCTGGCCCCCAAGAGCGTCCTAGCATCAGCGCCCGTGTTCTTGCATCTCCTGTGCGGCCAGCATGTGCTCTTCCAGGAAGGGAAGTCGGTTGTCATGGAGACTCGCTTGGCAGGAGAGGCAGAGGAGGGGTGGAGTGACACTCACCTCCTGGGTTCCTTCTTGCCCGGTGACTTTGCTGGACCGTGTGAGCATGCTGGGAGGATGAAGTGAGCAGGGCTGGGCCTGGGTGCACGTTTCCCTCCGGGGCTCCTGCTCTCTGCGTCACTCTCCAGGCCTGGGGTCCCAGGGGAGGGGATGAGGGGGAGAAGAGAAGGGAAGGGAGACAGAGGGTGGAGGTCTAGCGGGGCTCCGGGAGACCCCTCTTCAGGCCTAGCAGGGAACATGGGCACGCCAGGCGCCGTGAACCAAGACATCAGTAGGAGACTGGCGGAACAGATGGTCAAGGGCAGGGGTGGCCCAGTCCAAGCCCACAGCATGGCAGCCCCTGGATGGACTGGGGGCTCCGGCGGTGGGAGGGGGGGTCTGGGGGTCTCCGGCAGGCTGGGGTCCTGCCTATTTATCTCCTTTGCGGGCTCTGAGAAGGCCCGGTCAGTTCTCAGCCGTCCCAGGCTCTGCAGTGTTCAGCCGGTTCCCTCTGGGAAGTGTGTGCCGCCCATCACAGGGCAGGGGGCTGCCTGCCACCACTCCCCGCTCTGCCCTGGGAGCCTGTGGAATGTGGGTGCCCACGTCATCTGTGAGCGGGCTCAGAATGTAGGAGAAATGGGGTGTCGGAACCACACAAAGCCTGACAAAGGGAGTTGAGAGTGCTGACTCAGCTCAGGAAGAGAAGGAGAGAGGCAGGGTGGAGTAGGGTGGGGGGACGTGACCTGCCTTGGGTACCACAAGGCCTGATGTCTGCAGTCCCCAGCCCCACAGTGTGCCCTGTAAACACTGCCACCATGGGGCTGGACTGATAGCACAGCAGGTAGGGCATTTGCCTTGTGCACGGCCGACCTGAGTTCGATCCCTGGCATCCCATATGGTCCCCCCAAGCACTGCCAGGAGTAATTCCTCAATGCAGAACCAGCAGTAACCCATGAGCAGTGCTGGGTGTGGCCCCCCAAAAATCCAAAAAAATAAAAAAGCAATTTAATGAGTAGATTGATGTTTGATTTTTTCAAAAGATGAGCACAGGGGGGTAAGGTGTTTGCCTTGCACGTGGCCCACCCAGGTTCGATTCCCAGTATCCCAGATGGTCCTCTGAGCACCGCCAGGGATAATTCCTGAGTGCACAGCCAGGAATTGACCCCTGTGCATCACTAGGTCTGATCCAAAAAGAAAAAAAAAAAAAAAAAAAAAAAAAAACCACTGCCACTATAATGACTGGGCCTGAGAACCATCCCCAACATTTGGGTGTGAATCATTTCTGCTCTTTGAATGTGGATAACGAGAGTTTCCATATACTCATGCCCAAATACATGTTTGCACGTCCATATTTATACACACATGCATGCAAATTAAGTATGTTGGAGTCTGGAGAGATGGTGCAGTGGGCAGAGAACTTGCCTTGCACACAGTCAACCTGGATTTGGTCCCTGGCACCCTATATGGTCCCCTGAGCCCTACCAGGAGTGACTCCTGAGTGCAGAGCTAGGAGTGAGCCCTGAGTACTGCCGGGTGTGGCCCTTCCAAAGAAAAGTTTAAAAAGTATGTAGGTTTGGGCTAGAGCGATAGCACAGCGGGTAGGGCGTTTGCCTTGCACGCAGCTGACCCAGGCTCAATTCCCAGCATCCCAGATGGTCCCCTAAGCACCGCCAGGGGTGATTCCTGAGTGCAGACCAGGAGTAACCCCGTGCATTGCCAGGTGTGACCCAAAAAGAAAAAAAATGTAGGTTCAGGGAGAAACTAAGAAGTTGATATTTTTAGGAAAAAAATCAAATCAAAGCAAAGTCCTCAGTGGCTGAGCACCTGCTTTGCTTGGGTCTCATCCCCAGTGGCCCCCGACCCGCGCTGTCACCCTAATGGCCGTGAGCATCCCTGATGTTGGTCCTACAGGCCACCATCACCTTCCCACAGGTGTGGTCACAAAATTGAGGAACAAGAAGAAAGGAACTCAGGTTCCTTCTGTCTGGGGGCCACAGCCACAGTCCTCGGGGACTCTGTGGCATTGGGGCTAGAAACGGGGCCCCGCATGTCAAGCACGAACCCTGGACCTTCAAGCTTTCTTCCTGTCCCCCCTGAAAGGCCCATGTTCTTGATTTTGTGGAGAGATGGTACAAGAACCATTTCAATTTTTTTATTTCCTTCGATTTTTTAAAAAACAATCTGAGTGATCGAAAGTGATGACTTTAAATGATTTTAATGACTGTAAACTGATTTTTCGCTCTGACGGTTTTGTAGTTCAACATTTCCTCTTCTTGTCCTGACCCTTCCTTATGTCACCGTTACGCTTCATCTGGGCGCCTCAGCAAAATAGCCATTCACGGAGCTTCCCGGGTCCTGGCAGAGCCTGCGGACACCCTCCCTGTGGGGGCTTGACT